GCCAAGCACTAGTGATAGGAAGAAAGGCAAAAACAGCTCCTAACTTCAAGAAATTTACATTGTAATTAGGAAGACAGGATAGGGATCAGGGAATGGACCTGTGATTTCATTGGTATAAGGAAATTGTGGATGAAGAAACTCTTCTGTCAATTCAAGTGGGTATCTTACCAGTCTTAGAGCTGTCTAGGACACTGAGATTTGCACAGGGCCACACCTGTGCCTCGATTCTTAAAAATTCATTTTGTTACTAGACACGTTTTTACATTTCTGTAGAAAACATAAGAAATGCTGCATTATTTTCAATGTTTTGGTTTTGAGGCAGGAGAGTGTCTTTTCCTCCAAATATATTTTATACTTAGCCAACTTGCAAAGAGCAGGTTGCTGAAGTAACTGACAGCAGATGTTTATTTGATACCAGATTTTCCTGGCCATGAGTTCAACTTGCTATCCACTGTACTGTACTGCTTTTCTAATTAGAGAGATAATGTTAGTTAGAGTAGATGGAAGATCCCCTTAGAGGGATGGTGGAGCAGATCAGGGAGCATAACAGGAAAGACCTGCTTCAGAAGGCAGCTGGAGAGTTGAGGATGAGGGGGTGAAGAGGTAGAGCATTCCAGATATGAAGGACAGCCAGTGCAAAGTCATGGAGATGGCAGATGAAGTCAAAGTCATGGAGATGGTGGATGAAGTGCGGTGTGTAAGGAAAATCAACTATTATAGTGTGGCTAGGATTTAACTGTTAGATCATAGAATTTGTGGAGGAGAATAAAGTATATGAAGGTTGGAAAGGTAGAAAGTAGGCCGAGCCGTGAGGAGTTTTAAATGGACTACAATTTGATCCTGGAGGTAACAGGGAGCCAGGGGAGTTTAATAAGTAGAGTTTTGACATGGTCATGCCTACGCTTTACAAAATTCCTTTGGCAGCTGTGTGGAAGATGGGTTGGAGTAAGGAGAAACCTGGGGCATGAAGACCAATTAGGAGGCTAATTGCAATAGTCCATCATGAGAGATGATGAGGGCCCTGAACTGGATTCCATAGAATTTGGTTTGCTATTTGAAAATGCTTTTGACAAATGGATGGCCAATAGAATCTCCAAAAAATGTATCTCCAATAATGATTCTCCAATAATTTGTCAGCAGTGTTCACAGAAAGGAGCCAGAGTTTATTTTCATTCCAAAATTATGGGAGGAAACAGTAAATTTAATTTGGCAGCAGGTTGTGTAAGCACTGCGGTGCAGAACGTCATCTGGAACTTGAATGACTGTGGGGAAAGGTTAGGATAAGTCAAAAAAAGACAAAAGATAAAAAGAACAGGACTTAGCAGTTAGCAGAAATGCACAAAGTGAATGTGAGGGCCTTGTTGCCTATCCTGGGGACCCTCTCAAGTGAAAAGGAAAAGTCTTGTGCAGTAGTTTTTTCCCAGAATTCCCAAATTCCACCTGCTTCTTGTCACGATTCCAGAAAATTAACTTTATTTTCAGACATTATGTAGAAACTTGGCTGCATTATCTTTAATGTTTTGGTTTTGGGGTGGAAGTGTATGTTTTCCCACATGTATTTTACACTTGACCAATTTATAATGACCAGATTGCTGCAGAAGCTGACAAACAGGAGTTTAGTGTTTGTCTAGGAAATGAATGCTGTCTTTTTTTTTTTTTTTTTGGTAATTGGGGGTAAGTGACTTGCCCAAGATCACACAGCTAGTAAGGAATGCTGTCTCTATAGGTATCAAGTTTATCCTTTATGATGCATTAAGGCAGTCAATAAGCATTTATTAAGCTCCTACTTTGTACATATGGGCAACTAGGTGGCAAAGTGGATATAGTGCTATGCCTGAAGTCAGGAAGACCTGAGTTCAAATCCAGCATCAGACAATTACTAGCTATGTGACCCTGGGCAAGTCACTTAACCCCATTTGCCTCAGTTTCCTCATTTGTAAAATGAGCTGGAGAAGGAAATGGCAAATCACCCTGGTATCTTTGACAAGAAAACCCCAAATGGGGTCACGAAGAGTTGGACATGGCTGGAAATGACTGGCATTGTGCTAATTATTGAACACAGAAAAAAAGTCTTGGGACAGTGAGGTGGTTCGGTGGATAGAGCTCTGGCCTTGGAGTCAGGAGGACCTGAGTTCAAATTCAGCCTCAGACACTTGATACTTACTAGCAATGTGACCCTGGGCAAGTCACAACCTGATTGCCTCACCAAAAACAAAAAAACAAAAACAAACACCCCATCAAAAAAAACGTTTCTGCTCTCAAGGAGCTTATTCTCTAAGAGGGGAGACAACATGCAAACTCTATGTACAAATAAAAGATGGATAAGATAAATTGAGGGTGATTAAGGACTGTGAAAACCTTCTTGCAGAAGACAGAATTTTAGTTGAGACTTGAAGGAAGCCAGGAAAGCCAGGAGGTGGGGATAAGGAGGAAGAACAATCCAGGCTTGGGGGACAGCCAGTGAAAATGCTCAGAATCAGGAGATGGAGGGTATTGTACTAGGAACAAGGAGGCCGCTGTCACTGGATGGCTGAGTACACAGAGCTGAGTGAGGAATGAGAAACCTGGGAAGGTAAGAAGGATCCAGGTTATAGAGGGCTTTAAAAGTCAGACAGCGGATTTTGTATTTGATCTCAGTGGTGATAGGAAACTAGCAGAGTTTGCTGAGTATGTGGTCAGACCTATGCTTTAGGAAGATCACTTTGGCAGCTGAGTGGAGGGATACTTCAGGCAGGGAGAACAACCAATAGTCTATTGTGATAGTACAGGCAAGAGGTGATGGGGAAATCAAAACAGAGATATTTTGAAGGTAGAAATGACAGGATGTGGCAACTGATGGATATGGGGAGTGAGAATGAGTGAGGAGTCAAGGAGGACACCTATGTTGTGAGCCTGGGCAATTGAGAGGATGTTATTACCTTCCACAATAACAATCAAGACTTGGTTGATGGGTAGGGTAGATGAAGGGTTCTGTTTTGCTCATGTTGAGTTTAAGAAATTGTTGGGATATCCAGTCTGAGATGTCCAGTAGACAAATGGAGGTGAGGTCAAGAAAGAGATTATAACTAAAATCATCAGTGAGGTAGTGAATGTGGCAATGTTGAGATAATAATAATCTCTTCCCCCCACTCTCCCCTCAACAACTGCCTCCTTGGTTGGGCCATCCTGACGCCCCACCCCACCTTCCCCCCTTCTACTTCAAAATTCCTTTCCGCGTTCTCACCCTCATCCCAAGTCACCTTCCGAGGTCCTGTCCCTCCTCCGTCCTCCCTTTCCACTCTGCCTATGTTCTTTTATTGATAACAAACTCCCTCCTCATCCCCATCTCTTCCTTTCATATTGCTTCTGTCTTCTGGTGCTCACAGAAGCCTAGCTTTCTCCTGAAGGCATCATGGTACTTGGTGTCTTCTCCAAGCATGACTCCTCTTTCTTTCACCTTCCCTCAAGACGCACACACAGGGCCAGGAGGAGAAGATGTCAACATTTTTGCTCCTCACTGCCCCTTACAGACCTTTCCTCTGCTATGTCTCCCAGAAACCACCTGAATTCACCCCAATCCTTAGTGTTATCATCTATAGGCTTCCTGGTCATCCCCCCACTCCCCTCTGCTTCCTCCCACATTCTTCTCCATGTCAATGCCTCCCTGGTTCCCCTTCTCATGAGGAAGCTCCTCAACCTCCTCGGTTTCCATATGCTTTATCTCCTCCGCTCTACCCACCGGAGGGAAGAATGGTAAGAAGAGCCAGTAGCTCCGCGTAGCTATGTTAGTTCTGAAGAAAAGGGGACTGAACCCCAGCTGGAGGTGAGTCAGGGTAGGGAACTGTGGGACTATAATGATTCTATTCAAATGCTCCCCACCCATCTCATAAGAAAAGGCAGGTCCTGATTCAGCCTTCTCATGCAATGGAGTGGCCATGTGACCTTACTGTCACCTCATCCCCACTTGACTTTGCTTCATACACCAGAATTCCTGGTAATGGTCCAAGTTTAGGCAACAGAAGAAGAAGCTCTGGAATGAATCTGTTAAGTAAGATGTCTCAACCTGCCCTTCTCATAGTCAGATTCCTTCTCTGACACCATCTTGGCTAGTCATTGGTAGTTCTCTTATTATCTAGAAAATAAAGACATTAAGCTAATCTGGTTTTGGGAGGAGATAGGGTTAAGCTCCTTTTCATGTCTAGTCTTCCCCAATTAAAATGTAAGCTTCTTAAGAACAGTGACTATCTTTATTTTTGCTTGTATTCATATTTCCACTAAGCATAGTGCCTGGCACATACTAAATATTCACAGACCATCTCTATGGACCCCAGGTTAAGAATCCCTAATTTAGACCCTTCTCCCACTCTCTGGTGTTAGAGGTAAGGGAATTGAGGTCCAGAGAGAAGGGACTTGCCTATGCAGGTAATAAGTAGCAGAGACAGGATTTGAACTGCCAATCCTCTGACTCCCAATGTTGGGAAGATTCTGCAATATTGCACTGTCCCCTTCACAGCTTCCTAGCATAAAAGAAGCATCAAGGTGTGGAAGGAATTCTAGGCTCATAGGATCCTAGATTGAGCAGGAAGGGACCTTAGAGCAGATTAAGCCTAACCTCCCCATTTTCCAGAGGAGGAAACTGAGGCCCAGAGAGAGGAAGGGACTTGTTGGTGGCTGTGCTGGCAGTAAATGGCAGAGCTAAGGCTGGCATTTAGGTTTCTTGACTCTAAATACAGCCTTCCTTCCATTATTCCTCACAGCGAGGTCACAGAGGATGGGTTTCCCCAGTATCAAGCAAACGTAAGTGGGGCCTGTAACAATGACCGCACTCAGGACAGACGGGGCATGCACATATTGGAGAGAGAATTAAATTGGCTTCCACCAAAGGATAATGAGGTGGTTTTAGTTTGGGAGAGCAGAGAGTTTTTTTTAAAATTTTTTTAATGTAAAATATGATCTAATATACTCAAGAGCCTACAGGTATTTGGTTCTTATAAAAACAATAACGAATTATTTGAATAATAGCAGCCTTCACTTAAAAATGTTTATTGAGGATCTATTGTGTTAGGCAGTGGGGAAGATATAGAGATTAGCTGAAACATAGTTCTTGCCCTCAAAGAGCTTCCAGTCTAATAGCTCATAATGGCTTGACACGGTTTGCTAAGCATTTCACCTCTATGATCTCATTTGAGGGATACTCAATGGTGGTAAATCCTGAAACACCCCAATCAGAGAAGATTCAAAATCGCAAGTAAGCCAGGGGACAATGGAAAGGGCTGATGAGACTAAACACAGGCCACAACAAGCTTTCCAGGTGAATTAGCCTGTAAGAAATGGCTCCAAAGATATCATGACAGACATACGTGCCTGGAAAAGAAGGGTAACATTTACAGTGAGAGCATGTTATACAGTGCTTTATATACTCATATATGCTTATATATTGGCATTCTGAGGTTAGTGAGAACCAGAGGAAGGCCTCCAGAACACTCACTGGCTTCTTCAGGAAAGATTTATGGGGAGACATGGATGTGGATTTCTTATTGCCAGATGGGGAGTGCTACATGGACAGGGTCTTTGGGGAGGGTCAGAACTTTATCTCAATATATCACAGTCCAATCCGGAAGGTCCCAGTGAAACTACTACTAATGCCATTGCTACCACTGGAATACTGGCTCCCAGCTTGTGTCCTTCCCCTATCTTTCCAAAATTGCACAAGTTGGTAACACAGCAGCCTGTATAATAACTTTGGGATTGTCTTCCTCTAAGTTCTTGACCGAATGGACAGGTTTCCGAACAATACTTGAGTATAGACGATGCTTGATCATCCACTTGGCCATAAAAGGGAAAAGAAAAAAAATTAAAATCATACTTAGAATTCAGCAGTTTTAATACATCTTTCTGCATATATAAAGCAATTTCTAGACCCCCTTTATTGCCTTTAGGATCAAATACAAAATCCTCTCTTTGACTTTTTAAAGCCAGCCTTTTCACAATGTGGCCCCCTCCTACCTTTCCAGTCTTCTTACACTATATTCTCCAATGTATACTCTGTTGCTGCTCCTACTCAATTCACAGAATATTTCTCTTTATTTCATGCCTGGAATATTCTCCCTCCTTGGCTCTCCCCCTACTCCCTGCCTTGCCTGGTTTCCTTCATGACTTAGATCAGATTCTACCTTATGTTTGTTTGTTTGTTTTTTTGGCAAGGAAATTGGGGTTAAGTGACTTGCCCAGGGTCACACAGCTAGTAAGTGTCAAGTGTCTGGTCTGAGACTGGATTTGAACTCAGGTCCTCCTGACTCCAAGGCCAGTGCTTTATCCACTGCACCACCTACCTGCCCCTCAGATTCTACCTTATGCAAGAGGCCTTCTCCAGTCTCTCTCTAAGCTAGTGCCTTCTTTCAGATATCACCTCCAATTTATCTTGTCTACACTGGTCATTCGCATGTTGTTTCCCCCATTAAAATGCAAAATCCATGAGGACAAGAACTCTGTTTTTGTATTTCTTCAAACCCCCAATAATTGACAAGTTTCTAATGTAAGAAGAGACTGCCCACTACAGTAAACATTGATAAAATTTGAGAACACCTGAGCTGGGAGAGATTTGATAACTTAGCATTTTAGAACATATAATGCAAAATGTCAGAGCTAGAAGAACCATAAGACATAAGACTCTAAGAATGAAATGAGATCTTAGAACAGAGAAGGTTTGGCCTGGAGGAGACCTTAGAGTTGAAAAGGACCTCAGACAAAGAACGACAGAGATGCTGAAACTTTAGAACATAGCACACAATTTTTCAGGGCTGGGAGAGTCTTTAGAAGATATAATACCAGAATTTTAAAGGGATTTAAAATATAAAGCATCAGAGATAGAAGGGTACCGTGTGTGTGTGTCTGTGTGTATCTTTGATTTCACTGATGTGAGAAAACTTACAGCATGGAAATTCTCTATATTGATACTAGTCAGCAACTTACTTATAACAGCTAGCTTATATAACTGCCTTGGGGCACTTATAAATTATGTGACTTGCCTTGTGGTCATGAATCTAGCATGTGTCAGAGACAGGAATTTGATTTACGGCTTCCTGACTCCATAGCTGGCCTTCTCTCAGGCCTGTTTCTCCATCATCCCTATTTATTTTCTGCTCTTATCCAGGTTTCCTTTGCGCATTTAGAAAGAGATAGCCTAACGGTCTCTCTGTCAGTTTATTATTGTTGTTATCCTTGGTTGTTATGTGTTTATTCTTGTATTTCTATTGTCTGGAGTGTTCGAGAAGCAAATAATTTCTGTGTCTGGTTTTCTTCCATTGAAGTTTGATGATTCAGAACTGTATCTCTCCAATGGAAGATTATTCCTAGAGAACTAAGTGACTCCTGTATTTTCAAATCATCACTGTTGGTCTAGACTTTTCTTGAAGTTGTTAAAAATGACAGACCAAGAAAAATATTTCCAACTTGGAACGTGCGACTTTTAGGACTAGTCAATGAGTTTCATGGTGAATTAGCCTGAGAGATGGAGGGAGACTCTCATTGAATTTTCCTCCAGGGCACCTGGTATGGATCTTGGGCTCTCAAAGGCCCTGCCAGCATAGTGGCAAGCTCTGCCAGGGCATGCCCATCAGAATGGGCTTTGGATAGAGACTTTAGGTGTCCGTACTGGAGGCCGAGACTAGATGTGGGTACCAGAACATTGGTCACTAGGGGTTTCATTTTGTTCAGTCATAGAAACTCTGGAGATTGTTCATGTTGAATGTTAATGGTGAATGGAGGAGCTGCACCATGGGTCATTGATAGAGCAAAGAAATTGGGAACAGGGAGGGAGGAAGGAGAGACAAGGGAAAAGGAAGGATGAAGACGAAAGGAGAGAAGCTCTCATTTTCTTTTCAGTCCTGTATGACTTGATTATGTTTAGATTGCTATTTTCATCTCATTTTAATTACTCTTTACGGCAACTGGGGCAAGTTTCTGGTCAAGAAATTAACTGGCTCTATGATCTTGGGTCACTCACTTCCCTTACCAATCTGGGTCTTAGCTTTCTTGTCTGTCAAATGAGAGTATCAGACTCAGTAACTAACCACTTCCAATTTAGGAGATAACATGACTAGAGGAGGTCCATGAAAAAGGGACCACATCTTATCTAAGCTTTTTTTTTTTTTCTGTACACAGTATGCTATTAGTAGGTGTTGAATGAGTGAAGTTTGGATCTAGGGTCACCTGTGTGATCTTGGGCAAATTCCTTAGCATCTGTGGGACTCTGTTTCCTAATCTGTAAAATGAGGTTTAAGGTATCCCCTTTATAATCCTGGTAATCTAGGATTCCATGAATTGGTCGCTCCCTGGGAGCTGGTCTTTGCCCAGCTCTCCTGGTTGGAGGCCCTTTCCAAACCTATCCGTTGCCTAAGGGGACAGTTCAGGTAAACAGTGTTTCCCTAACACACACATACACAGGTCAGCCTATCCTTGGTATTCCTTTTCTTCATCTTCACACAGCTCTCATAGACACTTTCCTACAGACACACAAACTCTGAGATATCCATAGATACACACACATGCACTGATTCTTATCCTACCACATTGATGTATGACATAGCATGCTGTCATGTACACAGACACAAATACACACACACACACACAAACACATACAAGCACAAACAGCTAAGAACAGGACCTGTGAAGGACCTGGTTCTGTCATTAATTGACAGTGATATGTGGTTAAACCAAATACATCAGAGAGAAAGGCCCTACAATCACAGATTGTCGGATTTCTAGAATCTTTAGGATTTATGGATTTAGACCCAGGAGTGACCTTCTAGGTCATCTAATCCAAAGTCCTCCTTTTTCAGATGAGGATATTGAGGCCCAGATAAGGGATTGTATTAGATGACCTCTCAGATCTTTTCCAGCTCTAAAAATCTAGGATGCTGTCTTTTTCCATAGAATCATAGAGTTTTCTACCTGGAAGGGACTTTAAGACACAGAATACAGAACGTCTCTTGCTCAAGGTCACACTAGTAGCAGAGGGGACACGGGTAAAATTTGGATCTAAGTCCTTTCATTTACAGACCAGAGATTTTTCTACTGAACCATGGAGACAAGATCACGGAAGGAGAAAGGTGGAGGCAAAAAAGGCAAAAAAGGAGGAGATAGAATGGGGAATTATAAGAGAAGGTTTCTTTTTTTTAATTTTGTGCGGGACCATTGGATGGGATAGAATTATTCTGGTGTTTTTTTTTTTTTTTGAGGTGATGTGAAACACTGTCTAATCCTGTTTTTTATACCCCTGGGTTTTCTCTTGGTAGGTGGAATGGGGAATTAATTAGTGAAGTCATTAATGGGAAATGTAGATAAAACCAAAGATCTACCAAGGGATTTGTGCATTGGCTGAGAGTGAGCATGGAATTGAAGCATGGACCAGTTAGCTATACCCACTGTGCTTAGGTGGATAAATACAAACTAAACTTGGAGATATTATTAAGAAAATGAGAGATGCTATTTTTATTAGGTGTCCAGGAGTTAGGGAAGGGAAGGAATACGTATTTATATAGCATGTACTATGTGCCAGGCTCTATGCTAAGTACTATTTTTGTTTTTACAAATATTACCTCATTTGATCTTTACAGCAACCTTCTAGTAGGTGCTATTATTATACCTATTTCACAGTTGAGGAAACTGAGGCAAACAGGTTAAGGGACTTGCTCAAAGTCACACAGCTAAGGAGTGTCTGAGGCTAGATTTGAACTCAGGTCTTCCAGACTCCAGGTCCAGCACTCTATCCATTGTGTCATCTGTTCCTGGAGTTTTCATGAGGAAGCATGAGGCTCCTTGGCCTAGAGATGATTTTCAAAGATCGATTGGGTCTGGGAAACTTGATCTAAAAATTAGATTAGAAAGCCTAGGCATCACCTAGTCTTGCAGAAGATAGGTTTGGTTTTGTTTTGCTTTGCTTTTGTTTTTGCTAGAAATGAGCATTTCTAAAGGGGCATGAAGAGACCTTTGAAGACAGGTCCTTCTGCTGGGAATCAACACTGGATGAGGCAGGACCTTAATTCAAATCCCAGTTCTTCCATGTACTGCCTGTGTGATCTTTGTGAAATCACCTAACCTCTGTGTCTCAACCGCCTCATCTGTCAGATGAAGAGTTTGGACCAGATGGTCTCTAACCTGTCTCCCTGCTCAGGCGGTTCACGTTCCTAAGCTTCTTCCTAGCCCCAGAATTCTATATTCTGTGTTTTAAGGTCCATTTCAGATATAAAACTCCATGATTCTATGTAAAAAGGCTTAGCATCCTAGATTTAGAGCTGGAAAAGATCTGAGAGGTCATCTAATACAATCTCTTTATTTTGTGTGTGGTTTGTCCTTCATTCTCAAAGATGACCATGACATCAGGGAGTTGATGACATGACTTGCAATTGACTTTGATTTGAGTGAAGGAGACCTGTGCAAAGTCACCAGCTTCACTTTGTCCTCCAGAGCCATCTGGAGTCAGTGGCAAGATATAGATCAGGATGACTGGAGGTATATAGATCAGGATGACTGGAGGTGGCCCAGCCGTTATTTTGTAGGAGAGGACAGTGAAGTTCATAGAGATTATGCAATCTGTCCAAGGCTACATAGGTCATAAGTACTGGACCATGGACCCAGGCCCAAGTCTTTTTGCTCCAGAGTGTCCCTCATTCTTCCCACTGTCCCATTTACTCAATGTCACTATATGTTACGAAGGCCTCCTTATGTGAGGGCTTGGCGATGGCCTAGAATCCGTGAACTCTTTTGTCTGGATAGATGTCCCCAGCACCACACAAAAGCTCTGACATTTGGCAAGGATGGAACAGGGACAAACAAGGAACAACCATCTGGGTGGTAAGGAGATGCTGGGGTTATTACCATTTATCACAATCACGCAGTATTTGTCCGTCAGTTTACATGTTTTTGGGGCTTCACACAGGTAATCATCACTGCACACGTGACATAAGAGAGGAATTACTGTAAGGAAAATACAGAGAGTAAGCCCGCAGCACATTAGGCAGGAAGCTGGACATTTCCATTAACCCAACATCTACTCTCATCCTCCTGCTGGAAACATTAGCCCAGTTTACCCAACTGAACAACTAAGGTATCCACCCCATTGCAGTAACAAAGATAATAAAAGCACTCATTTCTATAATGCTTTACAATTTGTTGTAGAATCTTCCTCACAACAACCCTGAGAAGTAGGGAGTGCATGAGTTGTATAATAAAATGCATGAGTCTCCATTTTACAGATGAGGAAAGTGAAACTGAGGGAGGGGGCCTGATTGGCCTATGGCCACTCTGCCAGCAAACATTAAATCAGGGGCCACATGGTGATATAAGGGGAAAAGCCCTAAATTTGGAGTCATAGAACCAGGATTTAACTTTTGGCAAGTTATTCTCCCTCTCTGGGTATCAGGTTCTTCATTTATATTTTAAAAATTTAAAAAGAGGGAACCAGACTAGGAGATCTCTAATGCCCCTTCTAGTTCTGAATCTAAAATCCTACAACCCTGGTTCTCCTGACTGTTAGACTGGGGCTTTCTCTGCTAAACCTCATACCCCAAAGCATCACTGGTAAACAAGTGAATTGGATTTGGGCAAAATATTGGGATTTGGATGTTGAGGGAGGCAGTGGGATTTCATGGAAAGATAAGGCACCTCCGGTTTAATTCCTAGTTCTACCAGTGACTTATTATATGTTGTTGACCAAGTCACTGCCTCTCTTTGGATCTCAGTTTCCACTTCTGCAAGTTGAAGGAGTTGAGGTTTCTGACCAAGGATGGTGACTTAAAAGTTTCCTACCAAGCCCACCTCTCCCAAGAAACACCTCAAGAATGGTAAAGTCCAGTAACAAAGAAGCAGAAGATCAAGAAACCAGAGAAACACCAGTGAATGCTTCCATCCCAGCTAGGACTGCACCAGGAGATAGGTCCTGATGCCACTGGACTTCCAGACCAGGAGCTATACTGGGGGGGAAATCTGGGAGAATGCATCCTCTTGAAGACCGAAGCAGGAGCGTAGGACCTGGTCCCAGGTCAGGATTGCCAAAAGAGACTGGACCAGACCCCATGCAACAACCTAGGCAGTGACAATGGTAGTAGGATTAGGATGGGCCAGGACCCAGCCCCTCCATCCAGGATTGTGCACATCTGGACTGCAAAGGGGCAAGGAGATGTGACTTGACCAAACCTGTGTTTTAGTCAATTCACTTTGTTCCCTACTATAGTGGGACAGGACCTGGGTCTAGACATCCCATCTAAGGTTGTAGGATGGGGCAGACACTGGAACTGGTACAAAGGGTCAGTATGGGAACTGTGACTTGGAGTTGAAACCTGGACACTACCAAGATCTCAGCTTGCTTTCCCTCCTAGGACTGCAGGATAGAATAAGACAAGATGAGTAGGATTCCTGGCTCAACCACCCTATCCAAGACCATGATCCACATAAGCCTCAGTGTTCCAGATTGAATCTGCTAGAGGAAATTGTAACCAGCCATGTTTGTTAGATGTTTTACTTCATGATGAGAACTGAGAACTCAATAAGATTTCTCATAGCCCTCACCCCCCTTCTTGATCATGTATGGAGGGACCAGAGTGAAAATACACTCATAGTTGCAGACATGAAGATATTGTAAGAAATATCAAAGAGAGAAGCTAGATAGCCTTAGTGGTGAGGTTGAAGAAATGAGGCAACCAAAGAAAATCCCTAATACAATGAAGAAATACTGTGCATTAAGGATTATTACAAGAATTCTGAGATAAAATCCAAGAAAAAAAAACAATTGCGTAATAATTAAAAGAAGAATCCTCTTCACTACCACTCTTCTCTCTCTTTCCTCTCCCTTCACCCTGGATGGATTGGATACAAAAACTGCGAGCCTGGATGGGAGAAATGAAGGAAGAATTGAGGTAAGAGATTATGCCCTAGTTCATGTTCAATTTTTGTAAAGGTGTCATGTACAGCTGACAAAAAGATAACAGTCCTTTTTTTCTTAATCAACAATCTGTAGCGATCTATCACATCTAACTTTTCTAAAATTCTATTTAAGCCCTCAACTTTTTTGTCTTTGAGTTAAATTTATCTAGGTCTGAGAGGTTTACATTGAAATCCCCAAATATAATTTCACTGTCTATTTTGTCCTATTCATGCTTTATTTCCCTTCTGTCTGTATATCTGAGACTATAGATCCAGCTACCATGACTCAGTTGCTTTATAACTCTAGAATTTCACCGGAAATCTTATCACTCTGGTATATCTGTTTGCCATGCTGGTCATATCATATCATTGGTGAGTTCTTTCCAGGGCTTCCACTTGGGGAATGGGCTCAGGCTAACCATGCTTCATTCCTTAGCTCTGCTTTTGGCTCTATAGAATTTGCCACCAAACAGTTTGACAAAAATTAGGCTTAGAATAACATCTCACATCACATGCCATAATAAGCTCCAAATTACCTAGATGTAAAAGGTTACCAAGGGAAATAAAGGACAAATAAGATAAAAATAGACAATTAAATATTGAAATTGAAAAGTTTTTGCTAAAACAAAATCCATGCAGTTGAAATGAGAAGATAAACAATTAAATGGGGAAAAAAATCTTCATAGCAAGTTTCTCTAATAATGGCCTGAGAGCCAAGATGTATATGAGGAGTATATTCAAATTTATAAGAATGAGAGTCATTCTCCATTAGATAAATGATTAAAGGATATGAAGAAGCACTCTTCTCAAGGGTTTCCTCCCTTGAGAACCCAAGTCAAAAACAGTCATATGGAAAAATGCTCCAAATCATTAATAACTGGAGAAATACAAAATGAAAGCAACTTTGATGTTCCACTTCACATGGAATAGACAAAGATGAAATGAAAATTGTTGGGGTGACTGTGGGAAAATAGGCATACCATTGATGGAGCCATGAATTAAAAACAATTTGGAACTGTACCCCTCAAAATCATTAAGATGGATGTATATATATATATGTGTGTGTGTGTGTGTGTGTGTGTGTGTGTATGTATATAGATACGTGTATAGTGATACCACTATTAGATCTATATCAAGAAAGAGGAAAGAAGACACCCATATTTGCAAAGATATTTTAGTAGCTTTTTTTTGTAGCAAAGAACTGGAATCAAAGGAGGTGTCCATCAATTGGTGAATGACTGAATAAATTATGACATGTGGATGTAATGAAATGTAATGGAATCTTGTTGTATTGTAAGAAATGATGAAATGGTATGATTTTGAAGAAACCCTGGGAGATGTTTGGACAAACGTGAAGTGAAGTGAGCAAAGCAAGGAACAACTTTATTCGGGAACAACAACAATATAAGGGCAGTTAGGTGGCGTCGTGGATAGAGCGCTAGACCTGGAATCAGGAAGACTCAAGTTTGTGAGTTCAAATCTGGCCTCAGACACTTAGTAGCTGTGTGACCCTGTGCAAGTCACTTAACCCTGTTTCTTCATCTGTAAAATCAGCTAGAGAAGGAAATGGCAAGCTACTCTAGTATCTTTGCTACAAAAACCCTAAATGGGGTCACCAAGAGCCAGACATGACTGAAATGATTGAACAACAACAATGTAAACAAAAATAACTTTGAAAGACTTAAAAACTTTGGTCAATGTATTAAGCAACCACGAGTTCAGTCTCGTTTCTGAGACATGCTACCTATGTGAAAAGTCAGTTAACATCTTAGTAGCTTGGGACAATTCTCTAAGATCCTCAGCTGCAGAGAAGTGGCCATCTGCATTGTTGGGGGGGGTAGTTTCTGCGCTGGGGATTCTCTACACTGATGAAATCATGCATCTAGTAAGTGTCTGAGGCTGGATATTTTTGAATTGAGGAAGATGAGTCCTCCTGACCCTATCTACTGTGTCACCTAGCTAACCCAGAATCAGGAAGACCTGAGTTCAAATCCATCCTTAGACACTGACTAGTTGTGTCACACAGGGAAAGTCACCCGACCTGTTTGCCTCTCTTCCTGTAACTGTAAAATGGAGATAATAGCATCTACCTCCCAGGATTGTGGTGAGGATCAAAAGAGATGATAATTTGCAAAAATAGCGAGTTGCTTAATCCTGTTTGCCTCAGTTTCCTCATGTGTAAAATGAGCTGGAGAAAGAAATGGCAAACCATTCCAGTATCTTTGCCAAGAAAACCCCAAATGGGATTACAAAGAATCTTCTCCAACTGAAAAACGACTAACGACAAGGATGCCTTCAGTAAATCTACAAAGGATAAGTACACATTCAAGTAATTGTACTCAATTACAAAAAGCACGTATTTCATCCACTTGTGCAATAGGCTGCTAAAATATTAAATATGAAATAATACCAGCAGGGGATAGAGCACCAGTGTTGGGGTCAGGAAGACTGACATCTGAATCCCACCTTAGATACTTAGCAGCGGTATAACCCTTGGCAAGTCACTTACTTTCTGTCTCAGTTTCCTCATCTGTAAAACAGGGATGTCAATAGCACCTACCCCATGGGGATGTTTAGAAAATCAAATCAGAGATGATATATGTTAAGTGCTTTGCAAACCTCAAAATATTATACAAATATTAGCTGTTCTTATTGGAAGGAGAAAGAGAGATGTTATTGAAGAGAAAGAATCCTGGATTCTAGTGAATATTGATTGAAGGGAGTGTGGATGCTTAATCCCATAGACAGGAAAAGAAACAGGGATAAGATAGTTGTTTCCAAGTGTATGAAGAACTTTCATGTGGACACTTAAGATTAAGAGGTGCTCTGTTTGGCTCAAGAGGGCCAAAGAGGAAAGAACTGAGGGCAATGAATAGAAGATACAAAAAGGCCAGTTGAGGCTTGACAACTTGAAAAATATTTCCTAGCAATTTGAGCTAACCCCCACCCCCAACCTCCCACCCATGAACTTCCTTGAGAGGTATTAGGTTCCCCTTCACTAAAGGTCTTTGAGCAATGACCAGATGACCATTTGCCTTGTACACTGTAGTGAGAGGGGTTCTGTTGCATGGATTGATTGGATTGGATAGGATAGTTGCTGAGTTCTTTCCCAACTTAGAAATTCTATGATTCTGAGATGGGCCACCTGGGTTCTAGTCTAGCTTTTTTATGACCCTAATTAATAGTTTAGCCCTTGGAAAATCAGTTCCTTGCTCTGAGAAAAATAAAGGTGTTAGGTGATACTAAGGATCCATGAAATTTAAAGTGAGGATGGATTTTAGATGTCATCTGGTTCAATACTCTTTTTTTTAAAGCAGAGAAGGCTACTCAAGCCCTGAGCTTGATTAATTGAGCAGAGATCATAGATTTAAGGGCTTGAAGGGACTTGGGAGGGCATCTAGTCAAAAAGCTGAGAAACAAACGTTGGGAGTTTGAAAAACTTGCCCAAGAAGATGAAACTGGGCCATAGGCAATTTGCATAACTGTATTTTTGTACATGCTACCTTTGGTCATGCAGGTGGTAAGTAGCAGATCCAAATTCATGGCTCAGAATCCAATGTTTTTTTCAACACACTCCAATGTATCTTATCATTTTCCCCATGAAACATCCTCATTATCCAAATTTCCTATTTCCGCTGAGGATGCCATAATCCTGGCAGTCACTCAGGCTCACAGCCTCAAAGAATTCCTGAATATTTTGTCTCCTCTCCCTCACCTTCACCCTCTGTGGCCAATCAGTGGTCAAGTACCATCCATTCTCCTTCCACGGAAGAATTGTGAGGAAAGAGCTCTTCCAATGGCAGGCTGCTATAGAAAGGGGTGCTATTATTACCTAGAAAATACGAACCACTTGGGGTCTTCCACAGTTTGGCAATTTGGAGGGTCTGAGCTCCCGACATCCCCCAAGGTGACACCTGGTGAGTTCCTCCTTCCTGTTTTCCCTATGACACCAGTCCATTCCTTCAAAGTTCAAAACCACCCCCCCTTGACCTGACCTTGAGTTGTTGTAATTTCAGTTGTCGTCATATTAACAGGCCTAGATTCATTATAGGAAGTTGTGGTTGTTCTGTTCATGGCTGCATGTGAAGAGGTATCATTATCACAATAAGATAGGACAACAAACATTACGATACTCAGGAGAGCCTTCATTTTTCCTGTAGTTCAACCTGGGAGGGGAGAGAGAAAGAAAGAAAGAAAGAAAAAGAGAGAGAAAAAAAGAGACAGAGAGACACAAAGAGAGACAGAGAAAGGGGGGGGAGAGGGGGAGAGGGGGAGAGGGAGGGAGAGAGAGAGAGAGAGAGAGAGAGAGAAAGGAAGGAAGAAGGGAGGGAGGAAGGGAGGGGAAAAAAGGATGGAAGGGAGGAATGAAATAAGGGAGGGAGGAAGAAAGAAAGATTATTATTAAACACTTATTATGTATAAGTTAAATGCTGGGCATAGAAATAGAAATATTGAGATAGTCTGCTCCTATGGGAAGATGAAACCTAAGGGTACAGTGTCAGGAAGGACCCAGTGGTCCTTAGGTTCCATCAGAAAGTCAGGTGGCAGTGCCAGTGTCTGGAGGGTATAGAGGTGTCAAAGATGGGCTGGGCCGGTAGGCTTCCCTCTCACCAGAGAGAACAGAGCTGATGACTCACGCCTCCTCTGAGTGGCAGGGGCAGTTCACCAGCCTGCGTGGGCCCTGGCCAGCCCAGGTGTGGAGAAGGAAGACAGAGGGGAGGGTGCTGCTACCTGGGTCTTCCTGCTACCTGGCTGGTGAGGTGGGTTCTGGAGGCAGTGAGGGAAAGGCAAAGGGGTTGTCGGCTTTTTTTAGAACCGAAGTCACTCCTACTGTCATTTCTAAAAGCAGGGTGTGTTCATAAAATGGGATTGTGGGACTGAAAATTGCTAGGGTCCAAAGGGATCTCAGAACATAGCGGGACATAAACTACAGAGAGGGGCGGAGTCATGGAAACAGTGCTGAAGTCAGGAGAGAGCTGGGTTTGAACTCTGCCTCTGACACCCATTGGCAAGTCATCAAACTTCTTTGTACCTCAGTTTCCTCGTCTGTACAGAGGGAATGAGAGGCAGCATACCTTAGCGGATCATCGACTGGCCTGGGAGTCAGGAGAAATTGGATTCCAGTCTCATTTCTGAGACATACTACCTATGTGAAAAGTCAATTAATGTCTTAGTAGCTCAGGCCAACAAAAAGAGTTAAAAGACAGTCCCTGTCCTCAAGGAGCTTACAGTCTAATGAGGCAGACACATATAAACAAATATCTACAAAAAAGCTATATACAAGGCAGGTAAGAAGTAAATAAGAGAGGGAAGGCACCTTTGAACATAGAATACAGAATGTCAGAGCTGGGAAGGACCTTAGAATATAAGACAGAGGACGTACCATCATTCTTAACAGAGAAAGAAACTGAGGCCTAGAGAGGGGAAGCAATATCAGTAGGGTGACATGATTAACAAGGGGCAAAGACAGGATCCAAGCCCAGTCGGTCTCAGACCAAGTCATCCAGGGCTGTTTCTTTTATAGGGATGGAAGTAGGGGCAGGGATTATTATTATTATTAATCCTCTTTTACAGATGAGGAAACTGAGCCCCCAGGCTATTGCATGGTAGACACAATAAGCCATTGGAGAAATTGAGTTGGTCACGGCCCTACCAGGAGTCAGGGATGATCGAGGACAAGAAGTCCCTTTGACCACCCAAGGTGGGAGCTCCTTTGACCAGACCAAATTCTGAGCCCTTCCTAGTTATCTATGAGATGCAGTTCTTGAGGAGGGGTACGGGACTGGAAGGGGTGGGGGGGGGGAAGAGGCAGCAACAGTCCCAGTTCCTCTGCCCTCTAAGGTGTGCCAAAGCAGGGGTATTAAATAAGTGTTTAACAACTGGTTCTCAGAAAATTAATGTAGCCACGACACATTATTAAATTTAATCTGCATTATGAAGATATTCTCTGACACTTCCTTAAGTCTAGGCAATTAAACAAAACAATAGAGTCCTGATTTGTGGTATTTTCTGATTTGCAAGGTTTAAATGATCCCACTAAAAATTTAACAATCAGCTCTTGACAGTCAGGGCTGCCTCCAGCACATTCACATATGGAGGACAGAAAGGAAGGTGATGAAGAAAAGTGGGCCTCAGGGGCTGAGAGAAATGGGGCTTTAGGTAGAGGTCCACATCTCCTGCCTCCTACTTTAGCTGTGTGACCCTGGGCAAGTCCCTTCCCTTCTCCGGGCCTCAGTTTCCTCCTCTGTAAAATGAGGCAGTTGGACTAGGGCCTCTAACAGGATTCCCGGCTCTAACCCTCAGGGCCCGGGGGAGATCTTGGCCTTCCCCTCCCCCTCCATAGACGGTCCAACCATACCTGGGCTCCGCGCTCTGCTCAATCCCGCGGCGCCCTGGATCTCAGTGCGGCTCCCTGGGCTCCTCCTGGACGGCTCGGCTTCCTGCAGCCACAAGAGGCACCGGCCCTGGTTACCCCCTCCCCCCCAGCCCAGCGTGAGCACGTGGAAAGCTAGAGGAAGTCCGCCGGAAGGGCCTTCCCGGGATAGACTCGGGGTGGGGGTGGGGCTGAGGCCGGGGGCCCCAGAGCAGAGGATGCATGGGGACCCTGGAGCAGAGAGTGTCGGCGCTATGACCTGTCACAGCATGTGGGCTACAGACAGGGTAGGAGGGCACCTGGAACAGGGTCATAGAATTTAGAATACAAGCTTTCATAGCTCAGTGGGACCTCATAACACAGAAAGTTAGAGCCGGCGGGGGGGTCACAAATGTGAAATATGGACTGTCTGATCTGCAAGGGACTGAAGAATACGGTCGGTCAGAATTGACAGGGACCTAACATAACAAGTCATAGCTGGAAGGGTGTTAGGATTCAGAATAGGGAATGTCAAAACCTTAATAGAACTCTGAGACCTCTTAGTCTGGCAGTTTTTAACCTGGGCTCCTCAAACCAAGATTTCAAGGGTCCATGAATTTAGATGGGAAAAAAAATGTATCTTTATTTTAATATAGTCAGTTTCTTTTGTAATCCTATGCATTTAAAAACCTCATTCTGAGGAGAGATTCATAGCCTTTGTCAGAGTGCCAAAGGGGCCTATGATACAAAGAAGTTAAGCACCCCTGTCTCAGTCTAAGCTACTGCTCATTTTAAGTGACAACTTGATGACTCATCGTGATTTGGACTCAGTCCTGGGCTCTCAAAGGCCATGCTCTGGTAGATCTTACCAAGCCAGAAAGATTTCAGGTACTGGCCAGGTGATGGAGAGTATATCTGACCTCTGAGGACCAAACTAGCTTACTGAAGGGCCTTATCACCAGGTTGGCTGCAGAGTAATGGATTTTTCAACTATAGAAAGTCTCCAAGCTAGAGGAGTCATGATCTGAATTAGTGAAAGGAGAACCTTCCTTGTGGAGGTCACATCCTTGAAGCATTGTCCTGTATGCATGTTACAGGATAGACTTTTTTTTTTGAAGCAATCTTGGTTAAGTGACTTGTCCAGGGTCACACAGCTAGTAAATGTCTGATGCTGCGTTTGAGCTCAGGTCTTCCTGACTCCAGGGCCAGGGCTCTATCTATTGCTCCACTTAGCTGCCCGCCTTTTTATTTTAGTAATTTTTTATTGCTTAGGTAAATCTGCGACCTCTTTAAGGTGGGTGTTCCCTTCGGTGATGCAAATCACAGGTCACCCATTCTCTTTCATCCTATGATTGTCTGATATCCTTTGGTCAATTCTCCATGTGGAGGAGTGCCCACTCAACTTGCAGAAGTGTGGGAGGGGTCTTGCCCTAGTTCTATTATTTTGGATCACAGAACATATACCAACATTCCTCAGTATGTGAAAAGCCCATCTTTTTTCCCAACAAATGGTTCTCTGATGACATCTTTATATGTTGCTTGGCTGATAATATGTTACAGATTCACACCTATCAACAAGCTTCTCCATTGCCCCTTGGGTAACCTTCCACTCTTGAGTGACTCTGATATTCCCTGACTAGCAGCCATGCGGCATCACTGGAAGGGTAGAGTTGTTTAAAGAGAGACCCTTGATGCAGGAAGAGGCTAGAACTCATTGAAAACTCGGCTCAATTTCCCAAAGGAAATTCACTTTGCTCTGTTCTCCCTATTTGATGCTGGGTCCCTAGACAGTGTCTACCTAAGATGTAGGTAGTGACAGACACCCAATGGGTTGTCCATCCAACTGCTTATCAAAATTTGGAGAACAGATGTTCTTCACTCAGTTTAATTCCAGGGTATATAATTAGGCTGAACCTTTAAAAAAGTAATCATGGATCTCTTTTGTAATTTTTTCCCTTCTTCCCTTCCCTCTTTTCCCTCGCTCCCTCTGTCCCTCCCTCCCTCCCTTCCTTCCTCCCTCCCTTCTTTCCTTCCTCCCTTCCTTCCTCCTTCCTTCCTTTTCCCCCTCCTTTCTTTCCTATTGTGCTTCCTTCCTCCTTTTCTTTTGTCTTCCCTTCCCATCTTTCCTCCTTCCTTCCCTCCCTCCTTCCCTCCGTCCATCCTTCTTTTCTCCTGTTCTCCCTTTGCGCCTTTCCTCCTTTCTTTTCTCCTTTCCTCCTTCCTTCCTTCCTCCTTTCCCTCCTCTCTTTCCTCTTTCTTTTATTTTTGGAGCTAAAATATTTTGTGGCTGCCTTTTAGTCATTTCCCACCTCCTTCCTGTTTGAGCTCTCTTTTGGACAAACATCTAATGGAGGCACTATCTGACTGTATGCACAACATGTCATCTTAGTCCCCTGACTCTGCTCTGAGGAGACAGGGCTTTAAAAAGCAAAACAGAAGAGTTTATATTTTATTCCAGAGACCTTGGGAAGTTGCTGGAAGCATTTAAGAAACACCACTTTGGCAGCCTTGTGGCATATGGACTGGAGTGTTGAGAGGCTTGTGTCAGGTGGACCAGTCCAGAGGCTGATGCAATAATCCAGGTGACAGGTGATGACAGTCTGAACCAAGACAGCAGCTGTATGAATGGAGGGAAGGGGTCAGATGGGAGGGATGTTGTGCAAGTAGAAATGACAAGATTTGTCATCTGGCTGAATGTATGAGAGAATGAGGATATGAAGAAGAATGAAGAGCCAAAGATAATACTGAGGTTTTGAGCCTGCAAAGCTTGTTCATGGTATGATGGGATTCGAACCCATGTACCCGATTCCAAGTCCAGCACTCTCTTTACTGAGCTGTTTGCGACGCCATTCTGAATCTGTGATTCTGTGAATGTGAAGGGGGTAAGATTCAATCACATAAACTCACAATCTCAGAAGGAGAAAAGCCTTCAGGGGCCACTGGCTTCAACCTGGACCTGGTCAAAGACTCCCCTTGACAAATGATCACCCAGCCTCTGCCTGAAGCCGTCAGGGGAGGCAGGTCTATCTGTTCTCCTCGGAGTGGCTTGCATTCCTAGGAAGCTTTCCCCTGCGGCCCGCCTAAGTCATTGTCTACTAAATTTCCATCCCTTGCTCCCGGTTTTGTCATCTGAGCCCCACCAGAACGAGTGCAATCCCTTTGCTTGTGACAGCCCTCCAAATACTTGGAAGTATTTCTCACCCTCCCCACCCCTCCAGCCCCAGTCTCCCCTTCTTCATGATAAACCTGTCAAGTCCCTTTAACTAATACTCGTAAAGTGTGATCTCCAGCGGCTTCATCATCATGGTGAGAGCTTCTCACCCCAGATATACAATCTGTTGCCAAGCCTTGTTGTTGTCCCTTCACGCTATCTATTATATAAAATCCACAGCCCTCTCCCTAGTATGGACACTCACTACCCCAGGCCTGGGCTATTTCAATAGCCGTGTCACCAAAAAAAAATCAAGAAAAATAAAGAAAGTGAAAAAATCATACTTCAATTTGCATTCAGAGTTCATAAGTTCCCTCTCTGAAAATAGATAGCAATAACATTCTTTTTTTTCAAGGCAATTGGGGTTGAATGACTTGCCCAGGGTCACACAGCTAGTAAGTGTCAAGTGTCTGAGGCCAGATTTGAACTCAGGTCCTCCTGACTCCAGAGCTGACGCTCTATCCACTGTACTACCTAGCTACCCAAATAATATTCATTTTAAAAAATTGATATGACCTATATCAGATTGCTTGTCATCTTGGGGAAGGGGGAGGGAAGAGAGAGTGGGAGAAAACATTTGTAACTCAAAATCTTATAAAAGTGAATGTTGAAAACTTTCTTTCCATGTAATTGAAAAAAATAGAATACTATTTTAAAAAAAGAAGAGAAGGTGTAGGGGGGATATGATGGTTGTCTTCAAATATTTAAGGGCTGCAATATGAAGAGTGATTGGTTCTGCTTGACTCTGGAAGGCAAAGCTAAGAGCATTGAGTGGAGGTTGTGAAGAAGCAGGTTTCTCTTTCTTGTCCAAACAGAACCATCTCACAGACGAATGCGGGTAGGAAGCTTCATGTCCCTGGAAGTATTCTAGTAGAGGAGGGATGAGCACTTCTTAGAGATGTAGAGAGAATTATATTGTTCATGCATAGGTTTAGCTTCTTGCCCATTAAGGTCCCTTTTAACTCGGAGATTTTTGAGGTCCAACAATTCTAGTAGGTGGCATTTATTCTTTATTAAATAAATAGAAGGCATAGTAGAAAATGAGAAGGGGAGTGACATGGTAAGACCCAAATGTTAGGAAAATCACTTTGGCAGCTGAGGGGAGGATGGAATAGAATGGGAAAATATTTGAGGTGGAGAAATCAACCAACATGCAATTGTGCAGATGAAGATGTATGGATAGGAACACGCTCACACGCTTTGTCCTCAGTGCCCTACCATGACCTGCAGATGGTCTCAGGTCCTCCAAGACCCTACCAGAGTAGCAAAAGCACCGGCTTGGTAATTGCACCGGGGGAGCAGGGCTATGCTAAAGATGATGTTGGTCTGTATTTGAGCAAAGCATTTGACAGAGGTGCTCACTGTCTCCTTGTGGACCCCTGGACTAGATGGTAGTACAATTAGATCAATTCAGACCTGATCGAAGGTTGTAAACAAACTTTGACAGATATGGGATAAACTACATGATCACTGAGGTCCCTAACATCCATTCCACTTCTGATATTGTATGAAGGGTTTGTCAGTTGCTCCATCCAAAGAGCAATTGTCAATAGGCTTATGCCATCTTAGAAAGAGGTCTCTCATGGAATGCCCCAGTACTCTGTTCTTCACCCTTTTCTGTTCAAGTTTTATTCATGACTCACATGAGGGCTTAAATAGTACGCTTACTAAATCTGCAAATGACATGAAGCTTGGAGGGGTGACTGAATGGATTGAATGACTGAATTAGGACCCTGTAAGATCTTAACACTGGGATCAATTTAATATGATAATAATCCGATAACAAGGACAAGAGTTCACAACCTGGTGTGGTGGAAAGAGCCCTGGATTTGGAGGTAGATGACTTGAGTTCGAATCCAGCTCTGCCACTCATTCCCTGCATGACCTTGGAACAATTGTTTTCCCTCTCTAAGCCTATAAAGGATCACCTCCTAGGGCCCTTACAGCACTGAATCTGTGACCCTGTGACCTGCTAAAAAACATTGAGGAGTGGGGATCCACATTCATGAAGGAAGATAAGATCCTGGGCCCTTGACACAGGTACTAGGATCTCTATAATCTAGGCATCAGTGTTATTATATGTATAATTATATATATTATATGTCATTATACATATAATCATATATATTATATTATTATATTATTCTATAACAGTATATGTCATAATATATAATATATTTATACATAATAATATAATAAATAATTTACATTTATAATAATATAATTTATATGATAATTTATGTTTATATAATAATGTATTAGTATTACAATATAATATTATTATTATTATATATTATAATACAATAAAATATGATTATACATTATACATAGATCCTTGGCACTGAGCACAGTGCCCAGTACCCAGTAGACACTTAACAAATGCTTGCTAATGGATTAGAGGCATGTTAATAAAGCCTTTTTGATAGATTGGAGGCACTTAAATGCTTGCTGATGGACTGGAGTCAGAGGATCTATCATTTATTTCCCAGTTGTGTGACGCTGGACAATCCCCTTCCCCTCTCTGGGCCTTGGTCCTTCCCCTGAAGAGGGAGGGGGTGGGACCAGAGGCTCTGTACCGCCCCTGCCAGAAACAATCTCACCTCTCCTCCCTTTTCTGCCCCCAGCTGGCCCCAGGCAGAGGAGCAGAGACAGAATGTGCATGAGACTGAACTTGGCAGGATCTTTCTAGAAGCTGTGCTGAGAGCGGGGAGGACAGGAAGAGGCATCTGGGGAGAATCTGGAGCCCTGACTCCTCCAGGTAAGTGCCCCAGTCCCGGCGCTCCAAGACCCCCAGCCCACCCACGGGCCTGGACAGAACTTGGCCAAGTTCACTCTGGAAAGCAAGGTTTTGAATCCGGATTTTTGGACTTGTAGCATGCTGTCCAGGACCCGCATCTGGAGGTGAAGGACCTCAGTTTGACTCCTGGCTCCTCCGCTTAGAGTGGTTAGAGCCAGAATAGACTTCTTCGAATCTTTTATTTCCTTTAAGGTTCAGCTTGAAAGCCACCTCCTACGTGATGCCTTCCCTGATCCCCTTTCCCCTGCCCCAGCTGCTAGAGCCTCCCATTTTCCCCAATCATCCTATATTTATTTATTTTGTATAAATTTTGCATACACTTATATGTGTACATGTGATCTCCTCCATAGGATGCAAGTTCCCAGTGCTTAGCACAGGGCCTGGCACATAGTAGGTGCTTAATAAATGCTCGGTGACAACTTTGTAGAGAAACTGTTTAATTCCTGCCTTTGTATTCTTGGTGCCTGGCACATAGTAGGTGCTTAAGAAATGCCTGCTGACAACTTCAATAGAGGAATTGTTCAGTTCTGCTTTTGGATCCCCAGTGGCTGGCATATAGTAGGTGCTTAATAAATGCTTGTTGACAACTTCAGTAGAGTAACTATTTAGTTCCTGCCCTTGTATTCCTTGTGCTTGGCACATAGTAGGTTCTTAAGAAATGCCTGCTGGCAATTTCAGTGGAGGAGTTGTTTAGTTCTGCTTTTGGATCCCTAGTGGCAGGCACATAGTAAGTGCTTAATAAATGCTTGTTGATGGATTGATCGAAGGTCATCTGTTCCAACTTTCTCCTTTTGCAGAGAAGGAAACAGAGACTCAGAAAGAGTTCAAGTGCCTTGACCAAAGTCACACGAGTAGTGAGAAGCAAATCAGGGGTTTGACTCTAGGTTCACTGACTCCACCTAAAAGAATCTTTCCCATTTTAACATGCTGCTTGTAAATGTTTATTGATTGATGCTCCCCCATGCCAATAGCTCTGTGATCTTAGGCGAGTCTCTTAGCCCTTCTGAGCCTCAGTTTCCTCATCTGCAAAATAGGAAGAGTCCCTAAAGTCCCTGCCACCTCTTAATCCCACTGTACTAGGGGTCTCTGGACAGAGTGCGATGCCCACTACCAACCTCGGAGGGGCAAACAGCTAGTTTTCTTTTCGGGTCCTAATGTTTGTAAGATGGTACAAGGTCTGTCCTCAGGAAAACCTCCATCTGGGGTGGGGGGAGGGGGGAAGAGTCAGCCTCTGCTGGGAAAGAAGAAAATTGTCTTTTACCAAGGAAGAAACACATTTACCGTCAGAGGGCTGAGTTCTGTGCATTTACACAGTTTCCCAAGGCCTAGCTCAGCTCCTCTGACAGAGTGTTGTCTCCTTCCTTAAATTTCTCATAGCACTACACCCTCTGACCCAGCAGTAGCATTTCTAGGGCTGTATCCCAAAGAGATCATACAAAGGGGAAAAGGACCCACATGTACAAAAATATTTATAGCAGCTCTTTGGAAATTGAGAGGATGCTTATCACTTGGCGAGTGACTGAACAAGTTGTGGTATATGAATGAAATGGAATATTGTGCTATAAGAAATGATGAACAGGCTGACTCCAGAAAAACCTGGAAAGACTTGTATGGTCTGATGCTGAGTGAAGTGAGCAGAACCAAGAGAACGTTGTACACAGTAACAGCCACGTTGTGCGATGACTAACGTTGATAGACTTAGCCCTTCTCAGCAATGCAAGGATCTAAGACATCTCCAAGGCCTCGTGATGGAAAACGCTACCTACATCCAAAAAAAGAACTATGGAGTTTGAATGTAGATCGAAGCATACTATTTGCTATTTTTTTCTTCTGTTGTGTTTTGTTTCCTCTTTCTGGTGCTTCCTGCTATTGGTTCTAATTCTTACTTATAACATCACTAATGTGAAAAATATGTTTAATAGGAATATATATGTATAGCCTATATCAGATTGCATGCCATCTTGGGGAAGGAGGTGGGGAGGGAGGGGGAGAAAAATTTAAAACTCAAAAGCTTATGGAAGTGATTGTGGATAAATCAAAATAAATTAATTTAAAAAAATTTCTTATAGCATTCTGCTTGGTTCTGTCTTTGCCCCTAAGTCAATCAAAAAACCTGGATTTGAATCTCGACTTTGCCAATAAGACTTGGGTAGAACACTCCCCCTCTGTCTGGGCCTCAGTTTCCTTATCTGTAAAGTGAGGATTACAGATTTAGATCTCTAAGGCAAATGTTCTTAACCTGGGATCCATCTTTTAAAAGAATATTTTGATAATTGTATTTCATTTTAATTGGTTTCCCTTGTAATCCTGTGTTCTATACATTAAAAAACCTTCTTCTGAGAAGGGATCCATAGATTTCACCAGACTGCCAAAGGGGTGACAACAAAAAACCCTTCTCTAAGGTCTCTTCTACCTCTAAAAACATCCTTTGACTCCACTGTCTCTGTATTACACCTTTTTGTGGACACGTGGCATATGTTTTTTGTCTTTTGTTTTGTTTTTTGTTTGTTTTTTTTTGCTTTTTGGTGAGGCAATTGGGGTTAAGTGACTTGCCCAGGGTCACACAGCTAGTAAGTATCATGTGTCTAAGACTCATGTCTCCTGAGTCCAAGGCCAGAGCTCTATCCACTGCACCACCTAGCTGCCCCGTGGCATGCATTTTCCCCTTCTACCACCCCTCTGCTATCACAGAATTACATTGTAGGTTTCTTGAGGACAGGATCTCTGCCATATGTATTGATGTAACCCCAACCCCTATCAAGGGGCAAGTACCTACAGTCACTTAAATAGTTGTTTAAGTTGAAATGGGGATGAGCTGACAGTGGGATAAGACAACAGGAAGGGGAAAGGAACAGGCATTTATTAAGCACCTACTATGTGCCAGGCTAAGTGCTCAGTGCTTTACAAATACTATCTTATTTGTGTGGGATGGGGTGGAATAGGATGAAATAGAACAACTGAAGTTAAGCTGTCAGTGCTGGCTTGTAAGTCAAACCCTAACAGAATATTATATTGGTTCTCCCTGTTGGGCAGGTGAGACGCTGCTGAGGGAAATGAAGTTGATCCTCGGGCTCCTGCTGACCATGGCATGGCCCATGCTCCATGCAGACACCACTCTGACTGGCAAACAAAGTGAGTCCTCCTTGCTCAAAGGGTCCTGATCACCAGGGACAAGAATGGGACCAACAAGATGGCTGGAAGGCAGGATGGGTCTAGTGAACAAAACCAACAGACCTTGCCGGTCCTAGCTGGTCCCTGCTGGTATAGGCTATTTTAGGAGGCTGGTCAGTGAGCATAGGATTTGTTGAAGGTCAAGAGAAGGTATTAAATAGGATGGACAGCATGATGTAGATGAAAAGGTAGTAGATTTGGTGTTAGAAGACCTGGGTTCAACTCTTGGCTCTGCTGCTGACTGGGTGCATGGCCTTGGGCAAGCCACTGAGCCTCTTTAGTCCTCAGTTTCCTCCACTGTAAAATGAGTGGGTTGGATTAGATAATTTCTAGCTCCAAATCCTATGATCCTCTTGAAATGTGGCTCATTGGGTGTCCATGGACGGGAGATGGAGTATCTAGTGTGAGGAATAGCCAGGAGGTTAATGTCACTGGATCACAGAGTATGTGGGAGTTGGCAAGAGGGTATAAGGAGTAATGAGACTGGAAAGGTTAGAAGGGGACAAGTTTTGGAAGAGCTTTGAAAGAAAAGAAGGTAAGATTGAGGGAGGAGGGCCATGTCTCTATGAGTATTTGGCCAATGTCCCGTGAAAGTCAGATAAATTTACTCTGCTTTACTACTAGGAACTAAACTAGAAGTGATGGATGGAGGTGGAAAAAAAGGCAGATGATGTCTTTCTATAATGAAAGGCCTCTTTAAGGAGGGCTGTCACCAAACTCAAGGCACTGCTTTAGCAAGAAGTGAATGCACTGTCACTAGATGTCTTTAAATTGGAGTTTGATTACTGCTTTGGGTATGATAGAGGAGATCCCGGCTCAGGGGGCAGGTTACACATCTGATCCAGGTCTGAGGTTTTGAGATGCAAATCTAGGGAGCAGACATCAGGGGAAGGAGATATTAGGAGGCAGCAGGTCTCAGGGCAGGGAAAGGTTGGGAAACATTCGTGGGAGTGTCACCATCTTCCCTTCATGGTCTTTATCTCTTCCTCTAAACAGTATTTCTGATGTGTCATGTGTGTGAGCAGATCAATAGTTTTGCCTGCAGGAATCCAGAGAGGTGCAATGCAGGAGATGCGTTCTGCATCACCGTGGGTACCAGTAAGTTTTTTTTTTCCCCATTCATTCTCTCTCTTTTCCTGAGTGATGGGGGAAGGCTTTTGGGCAGGTCATAGATTTAATTAAGCATGGGCTTAGGTCAGGGACCTCCCTTCGAGCTACAAGTAACTCACCCATTGGTAGTTCTGGGGAATGGAGAAAACTTTGAGGAGTGGGATAAGCTAAGTTCTCACCATTTCCTCTAACCCTGTGTTTCCCACTGTTTTGGGTGTGCGACACATTTGCACTGAGACTCAGCACTCCCTTCATTCATATATTCATTCACGCATTCAACAATCATGAATTGCTATCTGACTGTGTACAGAGCAGTGCCATAGTAAGTGTCGTAGGAGTGTTTGATTCTGTCAGTCAGTGAGCCAATAAGCATTTATTAAGGATCTACTATATTCCAGGCATGGTATTAAGGGCCGGAGAATACAAAGAAAGGCTAAAACAATCTCTGCCCTCAGAGATATCATATTCTAATGGGGAAGACAATAGGCAAAAGGAGAAGGAGAGGAAGGGTTCTAGCAAGGGTCATCCAGTCCAGCACCTGTCCAAATAGAGATGCCCTCTTCCTTACCTTGAACTTGAGGTCACCCAGCCTCAACCTGAAGGTCTCCAGTGAAGGGGAACCAGCTGTCACTCAAAGCATGCTTTTCAACTTTGGAACAACTGCTTCCTTATGTCAAACTGAAATGCCTGTCTTGGCAACTCTTTCATCTGTTATTTCTACAATACATGAGCTATCTCATCCAGGACCCATACGGTAATATTGCTCCTGGTCAGACTTCCAATTGACATAGTCAAGGCTCTTCTTGGACGCTCTTCTCTTCTCCTTCCCTAGTTACTCACTTGCTGGGTTCATCAGCTCCCATGAGTTCAGTTATGTGGAGGATTCTCAGATCTAGTCTTTCCCCCTGAGCTCCAGGCCCACATCATCAACTGTCTTTTGGATGTCTTGAAGCGGATATCCTATAGGCATCGAAACTGAACTTGTTACATTACTTCCTAAACCTTCCCTTCTTCCTGACTTTCCTATCACTGTCAAGGGGACCACCATGTTTTTTAGTAATCCATGCTCACAACATTGGTGTCATTGTTGATTCCTCATCGTCATTCACATCTCCAACAAAGAGCCAGATCTTATTTCTCCACTCAAAACACCTCTCCACTCAGACATCTAGTCCATGGTCTCATCACTCCTTGACTAGACAATTAATTTCAATAGCTTTCTAATTGGTCTTCTTGCCTCACCTCTCTCCCCACTCCAATCTATCTTCCACTCAGCTGCCAAAATGACTTTCCTAATGTACAGGTGTGACCATGTCACCTCTCTACCCCATAATAAGCTCCAGTGCCTCTTTGTTATTCCCAATATCAAATCTGAAGTCCTCTGTTTGGCATCTAAAGCCCCTCAGCTTGGCCCCTTCCAGTCTTTTTATACTTTACCTCAAATGTTCATATGGATCATTTGTCCCCAGCCTGTGGTAGAGCATTCCGAGCTCATATTGATCTGATCAGCTACAGTAGGACACACTATACCTTGACTCCCACATAGTGATGTCCATACTTTATTACCTTCCACGGCCTCTGTGATCCAGCTAGCCTCACCTATTTGTTGTTCCTTCAAGACACAGCTCAAACATACCTTAGAAGGAAGCGTGTTCCTGGTCTTCTCTCTGCCTCACTCTGTACCACTCCTCTCTTCCCTCCCCCACCCCACCCCATGCCTCCTAATTTCTTCTCTGAAATTACCTTCCATTTCAACTTTTTCTATATCTTGTCTTTCCTAGCTATTTACAGTGTTTCTTCCCCATAAGAATGTGATCTCTTTGAGGACAGAGACCACATTTTGCCCTTTCTTTTCAACAACCCCCTCCCCCAACCTCAGTACTCAACACAGTGCTTGGCACATAGTAATAGGCACTTGATAAATGCTTGTTAGCTGACTTTCATTTTTAGTCACCTGATTCCCGTAAGGATATTGACAAAGTAGGGTAAGATAACTAGAATGGTGATGGAACTGGAGGCCATGTCATAGATGAAAATTGATTGAAGGCACAAGGGGAATCTGGGAGCATTCTCTGTGTTACTACCATACAAGTCTTGGAATATGTTCCATCTTGCCCTTCCCCCAATCACCCAGCCTTGTGGACAGTCAAAAGAACAGGATAGATAGGAGAAAAAAAAGCTTTTTGGGGGGATGGCATTATAATTGTTTACAAGTATTTGAAAGGCTGTCACATAGAAGACAGATTAGTGTTCTGCTTGACCATGGAGGGCAGGCTTGGATCAATGAGCTGGTTTCAGGGAGCAAATTTCAGCTCATTACAAGAAAAAATAAAACAAAAAAAGCATCCTTATGATGGAAGGTGTCCCTAGTGAAATGACAGGCTTCAGGAGGTAGTGGTTTCTCACTCACTTGAAGTCATCCCTGCCAGCAATAATGCTGAGGGGACTCAGGAGTGGGAACAGATGCCCTCTGAAGTTCTGTCCAATTTTAGATTCTATGTGCATCTGTGCGTGCATGCAAGTAGTGGGAGATATTGCTGTGTATCTCCTTCCACCCCATGGCAGACTGTATGCTCTTTGAAGACAAGGACTATTTTTTTTTTATCCCTAGCATCTAGCACAATCCTTTGTACGTGGTAGAAACTTAATAAATGCTTACTGAAGTTAATGCAGATAATGAGAAGCAGCATCATATGGTAGGAAGCACATTGATGGTTATTGTTCTTATGATTGTGGTCCAGACCTGTAATTCCATATATGTAGGGCACTCCTAGGGTATAAAGTGCCTCCACTTACATGGATTGGCAACTGGCCTGTAACTTCTGGTCTTACAGTGTTTCCTGAGGTCATTGAAAGGTTAAGTGCTCACAACCATACAGCCAGTGTGGACCACAGGGTGTATTTGAACTCAGACCTTCCTGACCCCCATATTCACTCTGGGCTATTCTATACCACCTATCACATCATCTGCATCTTCATCACCATCATGGGCAATTGGGCAGTGGGTTTTTTGGTTTGTTTTTAAATTCACCTCTTCTTTCTTCTTCCCACAGGGCTGAGCAATCGCTACTTGCTTATTTCCAAGCAGTGCCGTAAGTTCTGCCCATTTTTGGAATACTACTACCAAAAATTTTCACATGAGAAAGAAGGTCCAAATGCATTTATCTATTCCCATTGTTGTGCTGAGAATTTATGCAGTGTTGGCATCCCCTCCGTCTCAGGGAGTGACACAGACATCTATAGCCAATATAGTATTCAAGGCATTGCCCACTGCTGGGCCAGCAGTATGGGGCTGGTGATGTTTCTAAGCTTCCTGCCTGTCCTACTCCAGGTCAGTATGTGATCTGAAGGATCCCCCAACCCACAAAGCCCTAGAAATGGTTCCCACACTCAGTCTCTAGAAGCAATGGTTCTTGACAGCTAGGTCACACCCCATTGGAGAGGTCATGAGCCCTACTCATCTGGTAGCTTTCTCCCCTCTCCCTGCTCCCCTTCCCACTACCACACTATCGAGGCTTTGATAGGGTAAGGGGGGCTGAAAGCAAAAGCCAAAAATGCTGACTTCCAAGCCTTTGGGCTCTTCTCTGTTCTTTTGCTTAAACATTAATAAATGGGAAATATTTTTGATTTGAAATCAGGTCTCCTTGAGAAAATCCTATTCACTTTGTACTTCTTTTATGGGGCTAATTGCAATTTGTCATCTCTTATCTGTGTGTGAGAGATGTGTCTCACTGGTCTAGAAGCTCTCTAGGGGTCTCTAACCCTGTCTATTTAGTATTGTGTTCCTTTCCTTCGCCTCTGACACTCAACACAGAGGCGTTGTATGGAATTGATCCCTTTCTCTTTGAAGAGAGAGATATTGAAAAGAATGAAAGGATCTGGGTTAAAGTTCAAGTTATGCCACTAGTTCACTGTTAAACCTTGGGTAAACAACTTTTCTTATCCTTACCTCAGTTTCCCCATTGGTAAAATTAGGAGATTGGAGTCAGTGATCTGTATGAACCCTTCCAACTCTAAATGCAGGTGGTGCCCCCCACCTTCAGGGAGCTCTCAGTCAAACATAAGTTGCACAATTGCTACTGGGAGAAGAATTCCTGCTTTGTGGGGAGAGACACAAGCCCTGTGCTTCTCTCGTCTTTATCCAAACTTCCCAAAAAGGCAAAGTTAAGAAGAAAACTCAGAGGAAGTCAAGTTAGTCAGTCAAACAACTGACATTCTGGATTAAGTACCTTCTATGTGCAAGGCAAGCACTATGCTAAGCCCTGGGGATACAAAGGAAGGTAAATACCAGTCTTACTTTCAAGGAACTCACAATTTATTGGGGAGATGACACACAAACAACCACGTGCAAACGAGATAAGGTAATGGAGGTAATCTCAGAGGGAAGGGACTAAGATTAAGAAGGATTTCTTGCAAAAGGTGGGATTATAGATGAGACCTGAAGGAATCCAGGGGAGCTAGGAGGCAGAGATGAGGAGGGAGAACATTTCAGGCCTGGGGGGTAGTCAGAGAAAATGCCTGGAGACAGGAGATCAGAGTATCTAGTTTGAGGAGCAATGAGAAGGTCAATATCACTGGATCACAGAGTACGGGGGAATGGAAGTAGGGTAAGGGGAAAGAAGACTAAAAATGCTGGAAGAGTTCAGGTTATGAAGGATGTGGAAAACCGTACTGAAAATTAAAAAATTTAATCATGGAGGTAATAGGGAGCCACTGAAGTTGATTGAATAAGAAGGTGATATGGTCAGATCTTTTTTTTTAAGAAGACAGGAGAATGGATTGGAGAGAAGAGATTTGAGGCATGAATACCAACCAGAAGGCTATTGCAAAAGTCCAGTTATAAGGTGATAATGCCAGGGTGGTTGCAGTGTCAGATGAGAAACAGAGTATATATGAGTATATGAGACATGTTATAAGGTTAGAAAGGGTAGGACTTTATCACTGATTAAATATGAATGGAGAGAGAGAGAGAGAGAGACAGACAGACAGACAGACAGACAGACAGACAGAAGTAGAAGATGACATCTAGATGGAGATCCTGGATTATTGGAAGAATGGTGGTACCCTTGAAAGGAAGAGGGAAGTTAGGAAGAGGGGAGGTTTTGAGGGAAAAATAATGAGTTCAGTTTTGGATATGTTGAACTTAATATGTCTGTGTGATATCCAATTTGAAATGTCTCATAGGCAGTTGGAGATGTTAGACTGGATGTCAGGAGAAAAGTTAGGGCTAGATAAGTAATCTGACAATCATCATTGGAGAGATGATAATTGGATATTTGGGAGATGATGAGGTCCCCAAGAAAGACAGCATAGAGAGAGAAGAGAGCCTAGCACGATCCTACATTCATGACATCCATGATTAGTGGATGTGACCTGCATGAAGATCCAGCAAATATATTTAACATTTAAATAGTGCTTACTATATGCCAGTCACTGTGCTAATGGTATTATCTCATTTGATCCTTGCAACAAATCCCTCCATTTTTACAGATTAGAAAACTGAGGCAAAAGGGGATTAAATGGCTTGCCCAGGGTAACACACCTAGTAAGGGTCTGAGGCTGGATTTGAACTCAGCTCTTCCCGACTCCAGGCCTTGCACTGTATCGACTACAACACCTAGCTGCCTGACAGCAAAGGAGACTGAGAAGGATCATCTGTATAGGTAGGAGAAGAACCAAAAGACAGTGATGTCACAAAAACCTGGAATAAAGAGAGTTTCAAGGAGAAGAGGGTGAATGACACTACCAGAGGTGGCAAAGGGGTCAAGAAGGTTGAAGACTGGGGAAATGCCATTAGATTTGGCAATTAAGTGATTGCTAACAACTTTGGAGAGAGCAATGTCAGTTGTTCCAGACTGCAAAATAGAAAAAATGAAATCTTTTTGTCAGACTTCCTGCCAGAAAAGGGCACTGAATGTATATGGCCTTCTTGAGGAGTTTAGCTATAAAAAAGGAGAACAGATAGGATGATAACTAAGGAGGGAAGGATCAAGTGAATGTTTTTTTTAGGATGGGGAAGAAATGGGCATATTCATGGGCAGCAGGGAAGTAGACAGTACACAGGGAGATATTAAGGATAAGTGAAAGAGTGAGGACCATAGAAAGGGTAGTCTGCTGGAAAAGAGGAGACAGAGTAGGATTACTCATGCATTTAGAGGGCTTAGTCTGGGGAAAGGGAAGGGCCTCCTTTTCATGTGAGACATGGGTGAGGGAGGGGAAGCAGGGAAGGAGGGGAGAGAAGAAAGCTCCCTCCAAGTGGCCTCAATTTTTCTTCAGTGAAATATGAAGCAAGGTTCTCAACTGGAAGGGAGGAAGGGAAGTCATGAGAGATTTGAGAAGGGGTGGAAATCCACTGGAAGATTAGGATAGTGAATTGATTAGGATCAGCTATGAAAGGATTGCCTTGCAATGGTGAGGGCCCAGTCGAGGCTTTGTAAATGTGGCATGATTTCATCATTTTCTCCAGCTTTCTTTAGCAGCACATGAATAGGAATCAAGGGAGCAGATGGTGAGAATAATCCCAGGCTGGGGCTTGGGAAGACAATATCAGTGATATTGGGGCAAGGAACATGGTACATGACAAAGGACATGATCTAGTTCAGCAAGGCATAAGAGAGGAGAGGAAAGATGTAATCTTTTTAAGACTAATAGTCTCAGACGTGCCTGTAAGGCATACATTTTTCTATGAATAAATATCTATTAATTCCTTACACTGTGTCAGGTACTATGCTAGGTGCTAGTATTACAAAGACAAAAAAGAAAGACACAGCCTGCCCTTGAGAAGGATACATTCTATTGGGAGAGACAACATATACGGTAGGTAGATAATGAGATACAAATTATACATAAGGCCTATAAAAATGACTTGGCAGGAGTGGAGTTGGGTGGATCAGGAAAGGGTTAGGAGAGAGGTCAGGGCTGGATTAGTAGATCTGATAATCAGCATAAAGATGATAATTGAATCCTTGGAAGGTAATGAGGCACCTGCAGAAGATGCTTAAACTAATATTAGTAGTTCCTAAGGATCTTGCATGCCTTCAAGGGAGACAATATGTTCATATGGAAGTATAGAAAATATCTACCTTCTGTGGACTTCCAGTTCAGTATAAATAAGTAGTGTGATATAATAGTGAAAAAAACTAATATGCTCTTAGGCTGAATCAAGAGAGGTATTGTGTTTAAGACTAGAGAGGTGATAGGCAGGCAGCTGGCTGGTAATAGAGGGAGAGGGTGAGGCATGGAGGGAGGAAGACCCAAGTTTGAATCATGCCTCAGACACATTTGCTATCTAGTGGATGCTGAACTTAACACCTCTCAGCCTCAGTTTCCCATCTGTTAAAATGGAGGATAGTAATAGCACCTTCCTCTCAGGGTTCTTATGAGGTGCAAATGATATTGCATGTGTGAAATGCTCTGCAATATAAAGTACTCTACAAAGGGTAGTTATTATAGACTCATTGCTCTCTACTCCATTATTTCCAATTTGGAGTATTGCATTTAATTTGGTCTCCATATTTTAGAAGACACACTGACAAATTGTAGAACATTGTGAAGAGGTTGATCAGGATAGTGATAAGGACCTGAAACCATGCCGTAGGAGAATGAATTTGAAGGACTAAGGGAGGAATAGAAAATGTCATAGGTGGAGGGACCTGATAGCTACTATTGAGTGCTTGGTGTGATCTGTTTGTTTGCTTTGTGGGTTACTGATACTTCCTATAAACACACAGGAAGATAGCTGTCATAGATTGAGATCTAGTCATTGGGTCTGGAATGACTCAACTTGAGATAATGCTCTTTCTGAACTATTTTTAGGTTATCTTCTTAAACTGGGCTTTCAACCTTTCAACTTCCTGCAATATCCCACCTGATCACTAGGGGGACTTAAGGTCTGAGTTGTCCTTGTTGGGTGTCTGCCATTTTTGCCTTTCCTTTTTGGATGAAGAACAGTGTTTGTACCCTTGAGCATGCAATAGTTTCCCCGGTTCTAACCTAGGGGCTGGAAATACTAAAATGAGTAATTCCTGAAATCAACCTGGTTCTGCCATCATTCCTTAGCATAATTCACTA